ATTTATTTTTTTTTTTTTTAGTATATGATAATGAGTTTTTCTAAAATTTGTGACAAATCTATTTTAAGACTATTATTAAGAAAATATTCTTTGTTAAAGATAAATGTTACTTAAAAGAAGTAAAGTAAACTGAGTAATCATTTTTCTTAGCAATAGAATATTTTTCTGTGTGTAGAATGGCTTTTTGATTTTTTCGATATATCTCAAAAATTATTCGAGATATTAAAAATTTTTTATGCGAAAGTTTCATGATAAAAACACCTCTATTTGACCACATTAATAAAATTAATAAAATTTTGAAAAAATAATTTTTCGTTAGCCTTCGATTCTCTAGTGCCAAAACGGCTCATTTGCGGGAACGGGTTTATTGACAAAATTGGCTTCTTTTGGTGTCCTTTATAACCACCTGAAGATCGTCGATCTAACTCTGGGACACCCTGTACATGCTTCGTTGCTCGTTGAATCGGAGCTACATTTTATTACGTATGTCGCTTGTTGATAGTACATCCGCTGTCTGACAGAGATAAAATGATATATGGAGATCAAAGTCTATAATATACTCATTGACTATTCTATCATCAAATCGCGCTAAAAAGGTATGCGGGACAAATAACTAAGAAGAAAGATTGAAAATTGCTCACCGATCGATCTTGTCCATCGTGATAGGATGCTGCAAGATGGTTTGCTGCCCTGTCATCTCGACGACGCATTGCGTACCGAGTTCCAGCTCTGTAACGAGAAGGAAAATATCAGTCGAGATAAATAATTAAAATCGTTTTTAGCCCGAAAATGTAGCTTCTGCAATTATATTCAATCTATGTGAATCGTGGATTAAATTTAAAAATATACGATTCAGACACATATTAAAATAATTAAATGAGAAAATTAAAAGCAAGAAATTAAATTGCGCTGCACGTTGACTAATGAGAGTTTAAATATTACACGAGGGCTCACTTCATTTTACATTTCGAATATCGAAACATAATTACTCCATATAATCGTGTATTTTTCTCGTTATCAAAAAGTTCGTCCAATTTTTCGTCCATGGTTGGCAAAAATATATCGTCTTCTTTTATATTAAAAAAGAAATTAATATAAAACAACCTAGTTGCATTCTTTGTCAATACAGAAAAAATAAAAACTAAATTATTTAATTTATTTTCTTTGTTTAAAAAATTGTTCTTATGCTGTTCTTATTAAAAAAAGAATAAAAAAGTAAATAAAAGAGTACATACATACATTTTTATAAATGTTTGATATGCGACGAAAACAAATATAAAAGTATTCTTTTTTTTTTTCGAAGGTAAATATGATCAATCTAAGAATCCGTCAGATCATTTCAATCAAACAGATGTTGAACTTGAAATCGTCATTAAAGATACGTGGCCAAAATATGAGAATAAATTTGCAAAGTTCGAAAATCGAGCGATAAAAACGAAAACTTCCATTTATTTAAAGAAGAGAAGTAAAGACGTAAAATAATTTTTGTGTTTGTTTCGATCTATTACGAATTCTGGATGTGCACATTTTATCCAATAATTTTACTAATTAATTGACATACTCTCCGCGATTAACCAAATATTATCATTGCAGTCTCCATTTTATAAAAGAGATAATCATTTTTTCACAGAAATAATTACCCTTGTATGTAACATTCATAAAAAAAAATTATTAAAAAAACATGCAAAAGAATATAAGTGTGTGTGTGTGTGTGAATTACGTGCTCTGTTATTCCTCGTTGAAGTAGTTTAACGAGGTCAGTTTATATTCTACAGACTGCTTTTCTTTGTGTGTGTGTGTGTGTGTGTGTGTGTGTGCACTTTCTCCAGCAAATTTTTTATGATTGTTATTTTATGTCTATACGAGGTAAATCATATCGACGACCTTAATTCTTTTAATCAAAAAATTATAAATATTTTTTGATTAAAAGAGTTAAATGTGAGAGCGATGTTGCTCGCATGTAACGTGCTTTTTCGTAATACGAAATTGTTAAAGCTGAGAGTGGCAAGAGTGTAATATAGTTGAGTAACTTCTCTTGTAATAATAACTCGAGTTGTGAGAAAAGAACGACTTCTCTTTGTTTTATCTTATATACAATATGCAGTGTCTAATATACTATTTCGCCAAGTTGTTGTCTAATTTATCACAAGTGTGATAAAATAAAGTCACAAAAAGTTATGAACTCAACTATACTATTATATATATATTGGCCGTGACTATATCATACTTTATCAGGGAAAAGAAAGTATAATTGAAAGTGCAATGTATGCCCAACTTTCTAGAAATAGTATCATTATATTTTTTGCGTATCATATAAATAGCTTTTCTCCGACGTTAATATTATTATCAACATAAAAGAAATCTAATTATTTATATATACATATATATATATTTATAT